GACAGTGGAGGCCGTTGTAACTCAGGAAGGAGGCCTTTGCCTCAGAAATGTGGCCTGTGGAGCAAGAAGACAAAGTTACACTCACGGGCACATGTACACAAGCCACTTTACCTGTAGGATAATTTTTACTTTTTTTTTTTTTTTTAATATATTTTATTGATTTTTCAGAGAGAGGAAGGGAGAGAGATAGAGAGCTAGAAACATCGATGAGAGAGAGTCATCGATCAGCTGCCTCTTGCACACCCCCGCCTGGGGATATGCCCGCAACCAAGGTACATGCCCTTGACCAGAATCGAACCTGGGTCCCTTCAGTCCCCAAGCCGACGCTCTATCCATTGAGCCAAACCGGTCTCGGCTAATTTTTACTTTTAAAAAAAATATTTTTTAATTGATTTTTTACGGAGAGGAAGAGAGAGTTAGAAACATCGATGAGATGTTTGCACACCCCCTACTAGGGATGTGCCCACAACCAAGGTACATGCCCTTGACTGGAATTGAACCTGGGACCTTTCAGTCCGCAGGCCGATGCTCTATGCACTGAGCCAAACCGGTTTCGGCTAATTTTTACTTTTTAAATAAAATATCGAGCTTCTAATTGTTTGCCAATTTGTCTTCTTGGCCTTATCTGAAGGTAACGTTATTTTTATCCACACATTTGAATTGTTTCAAGTAACAGTGTAGAAGTCCTCATTTGTAAGACCTTTGCCTATTATAATAAAATAGAAGCAATTTCTTAAACATTTAAGTCAAAATCATTTTTACGGATAGATTTTATACTTCAGATTTAAGAATAGTTAGAGTAAAAGAACCCATAAGTACATAATGTCTTGCTCTCTCAAGAAATAATATAAAGTATTTTGCGATTCAAATACTTATTCTATCTTTCTAATGTTTCAGACAAATACTTAAAATCCTAAATACTACTCATTTGAAGTTGAAGTTCAACAATTATTGTAGAAAGATTATACAATTGTAGTAATTATTAATATTTTTCTAACCCACTTGATGTTATCATTCAAAAATGGTTAATTATTACAATTGAATGTTCTTGTGAAGTTATTTTATATTTGGAGTGAAAACAAGCCACAGTATTTTCTCCAAGTTTTGAGCTACATTGCATTAATGGTATGGATACAGTTTATCTATTGCATAATTGAGTAGTCATGAGCAATAAGAAAACAATATTAAACCCATAAATATCAAAATTTCATGAGGTAAAAATATGAGTGTTGCATTTCCCTCCATTGCTGGGAAATGCCATCTTTCATTCATTTAACATGTAACTGTCGACTGGGTAATTCAATACACACAATTCCTATACCCGAGGAACCCACAGACTAATTCAGGGGGTGCACCAAGTCAATTTATAAGACGATGTGTTCGGTGTAGTAAAAGAGGTGTGAATCCTTTCTTGAAAGACATCAAATTCGTCTTTTTAAAGGTAAGATGGAGGGCTGCGACACAGAATAACTAAGTCTATCTGGGGGAACCGTGAGAAACTTCAGGGAGCAGGTGGCATCTGAGGTGAGAGCGCAGAGCGGTGAGGCCACGTGCCAAGGAATGCCAACGGCTGCCAGGGCTGGAAGAAGCGAGAAACAGATCCTCCCCTAGCGCCCCCGGAGGAAGTGCAGCCCTGCCAGAACTGTGAGAAAATGAATTTACGTTTAAGCCACCCCGTTTGTGGTAAATGGTTAGAGCAGCTCCAGGAAAAGAAAACACCCAGATTACCCACCGCGCTCTGGACTGGCAGGAGCACAAATAGAGTGTCGAGTAAAAAAGGCAAGGCGCTCTGTGATTCAATTTATAGAAAGCTCAAAGAAGCAAAAATGAACAGTGTGTTTATTCAGGAATACATATACCTTGGATAAAACAATAAAAAAACACAAGGAAATGATAAACATAAAATTCAAGGGGAGAGGGTATAGAATAGGAGGGCATGAAGGAAACAAAAAAGTTGTCGGTCATATTCTTTTTCTTTCTTTCTTTTTTAAAAATATATTTTATTGATTTTTTACAGAGAGGAAGGGAGAGAGATAGAGAGCTAGAAATGTCGATGAGAGAGAAACATCGACCAGCTGCCTCTTGCACACCCCCTACCGGGGATGTGCCCGCAACCAAGGTACATGCCCTTGACCGGAATCAACCCGGGACCTTTCAGTCCGCAGACCGATGCTCTACTGCTGAGCCAAACCGGTTTCGGCCATATTCTTTTTCTGACAGTGGGTATTGGATACATAGTGTTCACTTCCTAGTCACAGATGTTTTATGTTGTCTAATACGATCGTCACTAACCACAGTGACTATTTACATTTAAATTAACTGTAAAGTTCCCTATTTGCATTAGCCGCGTTTCAGGTGCTCAACAGCCAGGTGAGCTACTGGCAGCCATCCTGACAGGAGGAAAAGCAAGATTTCCCTCATTGAAGAAAGTTCTATTGGCCAGTTCTGATCACAGTGACTAACCCAATTAGAGGATTGGAGCCTCTTGGAGCACTTGAGTTTTCCCTCAGGGTTGGAGCATGGCAGAACCCCCAGATAGGTTGGTGGAAGTCACAGGCAGAGGTGACCCGTGTCCTGGGCACAGTCTTACGTGGAGAGCTTTGCAGAAGTGCCACTGTCCACCCCACACGGAGAGGAATGGCAGTAGTACTGCAGAGGACTGCGAAGGCTGCGCAGCCAGAGCCCGCTGGAGACAGGCCCTACGGCTCTGCAGCCGGGGAATGATGCAGAAGGGCCGGGCAGAAAAGAGAGGCCCCGGTATCAGGAGCTGCCTGCTTAATTCGCTATGGTTTTGGGTTCGGGCAGAAGGAATAAGAAATCATGAGTAAAATCAGTGGCATTTGGAATTATCTTCAGTATTATAGCACCTGATGCTTTACTTTATAAACGCCTGAGATTAGAGTTTATTATGGGTTTTATATTTCCTATCCGCTCATTAAAAATTTTAGTAGCACTTGTGACATGAATATTCTACTTAAAATTAATTATAAAAAGGTGTATCAGAGCCCTGGCCAGGGGGCTCAGTTGGTTGGAGTATACCAAAAGGCTGTGGGTTCAATTTCAGTCAAGGCGCACACTTAGGGTGTTGCTTCCATCCCCAGTCATGGTGAATATGGGATGCAACTTGTCGATGTGTCTCTCTCACATCAATGTCTCTCTCTCTCTCTTTCTCTCTCTCTCTCTCTCTCATGAAAACAAAGTGTATCGGAGAAAGAGGTTAGCGGAAAGTATTATTTCTAAGTAAAAGGACATATTGAATATTTTCAGATTATTTTACTACTGATCCCCTAAAAAATAGTTATGTTTACAAAATAAAGGAATGAATGTTATGATGGCTTTTTAAAAATATATATTCTTATTTATTTCAGAGAGGAAGGGGGAGAGAAGAGAGAGGAGAGAGAGAGAGAGATTACTTATACATTCACTGGCTGATCCTTGTATATGCCCTGATCTGGAGATGAACCCACAACCTTGCACATAGGATAAGGTGACCAGACATCCCGCTTTTGGCGGGACAGTCCTGATTTTTTACAATTTGACTCGCGTCCTGCAGCGTTTTAAAAAAGTCCCGATTTTTGGAAAGAATGCACGACAAGCTAGGGAACGGTGGGAGAACGGGAAGAGAATATATGGTTTTCGGTGGCCATAGGGTTATTTAGCCAGGATATGAGTTTTATGTTATTTTTGTTAATTTTATAATGTTAAACTTTAATAATAACAAATAATTGTTGAGAACTGATTATCGAGAACTGCTTATCAAAGTTCGCACTGTTGATCAGTTGTTAGAATTTGACCACCATTGTTTGGACTTAATGAACAATGGCATTTTTTGGGATTAGCAACGACGAAAACATTTTGTAACTGTCTCTCAGAAGATACACATCGTAAGTGCTAGTAAGCTAGTTAAACAAGTGATGTCATTACAAATCAACTATTCAGATAATTCAGGTAAGTAATTTATTTATTTCATAAATACATAAATATTCTTGAATTTAGCCGAGACCGGTTTGGATCAGTGGATAAAGCGTCAGCCTGGGGACTGAAGGGTCCTGGGTTCGATTCCGGTCAAGGGCATGTACCTTGATTGTGGGCAGGTCCCCAGTAGGGGGCGTGCAAGAGGCAGGTGGTCGATGATTCTCTCTCATCAATGTTTCTCTCTATCCCTCTCTCTTCCTCTCTGTAAAAAATCAATAAAATATATTTTAAAAAGTACTTCAATTTAGCAGACGGTACTCGTATTATTTATATTTTATAGTGGCCGCAAAAAGTTTAGCGCCGGCCTTGAAAGTGACACGACTGTGCATAACTTTTTAAATTATATTTGTAAATTGTACTTATGTTGAAATTTTAAAAAATATATTATACTATTTTTGCGTTCTATGACAATTTTTGTTGCTCCATATAGACCAAATTTTTAATCAGCAACCCCTCCCCCCCCTCCAATGGTGTCCCGCTTTACCAATATTAAAACCTGGTCACCTTAACCTGGGGACCACGACGCCCTGACAAACGGAGCTACGGCCAGGGCGGGCGAAGCCTCTGACGCCCAGCCCGCGGTGAGGCTGAGCAGCTCTCCGACCCCCGGGGCCCGTGAGGCCGAGGACTGGAGCGGATCTGGGACTTGTTGCCGAGGGAAGCCCAGCTGTTTGCAGGGAGCGCACGGCCTCCAGGCCTCCGACGCCGGCTGGGCGCAAAGCCCCGGGGTCCCGGCGCCTCCGGGCCGGGAGCACCCCCTCGGGCGGGGAGCACCCCCTCGGGCGGGGAGGGAAAGGTGCCCCCGCCGCGCGCGCCCCCCGCCCGGGCCCGGCACGCGCGCCGCCGGCAGAGGCGCAGGGCCGGCCCCGCGCTTCCCGCCGCCGGCGCGCACCGGCCAGGGGGGGGCGCTGCGGGCGCCGTGGGAGCACCGCCTCCTCTTCCTCCGCCCCCGCCCTCCCGCTCCCCTCGCCAGTGCCGCTCCCGGGGCGGGGAGAGCGCGTCCGGTCTGCCGTAACCGCTCCGAAATGGCAACTTGCGCGGTGGAGGTGTTCGGGCTCCAGGAGGACGAGGTGAGGGGCCGCGGGCTTGCGGGGCGGCTTCCCATCAGCCGGACCCCGGGAGGCGGCGGCCGGGGCGGCTGTCAGCCCCTCCTGCCCTGCCCAGCCCGGGGGGCGCGCGAGGCGCGGGGGGACCACGGCGGGGACCCGCGCGCGGGCCGGGGCGGGGGCCGGGGCGGGGGCCGGGGCGGGGGCCGGGGCCGGGGCCGGGGCCGGGGCGTGCCGCGGGAGCCCGCTTCCTCCGGGAACCTGTGGACTCACACGCCGCTCCGCCCCTCGCGGCCCCGCTGCCGCGTCCTCGTCAGTTTCCTGCGGGGAAGGGAGCGGAGGGGGCTCGGCGGCGGCGGCGGCGGCGGGAGTGCGCGCGGGGCGCGGGGGCGCGCCTCCCCGCGGCCGGGGCGGGAGCGCCGGGAGGGAGGCGGCCACATCCCCGGAGCCCAGCATCCCGGCCGAGGGCGAGCGAGCCTGTTCTGGCTGCGGCCGCTGGACGCTGCTGGACGCCGCTTGATGCCCTTTGACCTGAAGACTTCCACGGGACTGGGACTCGCTGTTTTGTTTTTTTTTTCTTTTTGATCTGCAATCCTTAACCCTCCCTGGAGCCGGGGGTGGGAAAGCAGGCAAAGAGATGGGTCTTCCTCCTGTTTAGTAACAAGTGTCACGTGTGGCCAGTTCATGCCATGTTTCACCGGCCTGGATGGATAACTTAGAAAGTCGAGCTGGAAAAGTATCAATACGTGCAAGAACTTCCTATAGTTGTTCCCTTTGGAAATGAAATTCTGCTCCTTGGAAAGGCCAAGCCGTCCCTGCCCCGTGGTGCCTCTCGCTTGTATTAAACAGAAGCCATTTGGCCAGGGTGGCTCTGTTTTAGAGGAGGTCGGTGGGAGGTGACAGACTATCTATCTGGTCTGCAGTCTCCAGGGGGAAAACATCAAATGGAAGCGTTCTTGTTGGCTACGCCGTCCCAAGGATCTGTCTTCAAGATCGGACCCGTTTAGCTGTAAATCCTTCAGCCTCATTGCTTAGACATCTCCGAACGGTGTTGTCCTAGTGCCTCTTCTTAGCCAGGCGGTCTCTTCAGACATCTTTTAGGAAATGTCGTTTACATTTCTCTTGCAAGTTCTTTTGTTTATAAACCATGGGCAAGTTGTTAATGCAGACACTGTTATCTCAGAGTGTTTTGAGGATGATTCTGGCCGTGCGATTAGACTTTAATTTATTCTTAGTGACTGTGGCCGGAAGAGTAGCAAAGGGTGGGTGGACCAATAGTGGCAGCTTGGTCGTCCCTTGGAAACAGTGGTCAATACGTTTAGCTAAAAATAATACCCAGCTAATGATCTATAGAAGAGATCAGAAAAAAAAATAATGCAGTGTTGACTCCGTCGTAGCCTCACAATCAGCTGTCCAGTGCAGATAACGTCAAGCTGGCATCCAGCACCATCTGGCTGGCCTTGGACTTTCTCTTTCCCCGTTATTGTTGCTGTGTGTGTTGTTCCCTGAAGGGTGTGGGCCCTGCAATTCCAGATTTCTCATCTCTCTCCCCGCAGAGCCCATTGATCCTAGACAGAACATTGCCAAAGGGATCCTTCCCTGTTCTCTCCCCCTTGAGACAGGGTCTGTGTTTACAGTTATTTGCTTCTCACACCACCCCTCCTCCCCTGAGATGAAACTATGTGTGGCTGTTCGTGGGTGGTCCCTCAGCATCTCCGTGTGAAGGCCAGAAGCTCCACCCTTGGAAATGAGGTTTTCCTGAACTCCCCGAAGGATTTGTACTTCCTGGGGCCCTCCCTGACTCTCAGGATGGGGGTCTGGTGGTCCGTCCCATGACTCAGAAGTTTCTTACAGCTCCTTCTGTGAACTTTGTCCACGTTGAGAAAGAGGGAAGAGGATGGGACAGGGAGATAAAAGACATGATGGTGGTGTTGCCTTCCACTTCTTCCATTGTCATTTAGGTTATTCATTCATCATTTATGAACGGTCTGTGCTGTTTCGCACAGTTTGTCAGGCACCGAGGAGGCAGAGAGCAACGGCAGTCCCCGCCCGCTCTCCAAGGAGCTCCCCGTCTGGTGGGAAAGAGACAGACATGGCTTGTGTTCTGGCAGAGGCTGCCATGCCATCGTTGTTATTTGCCATTTATGTTCTGCTCCATCACAGACGTAAAAGAGGGTGTAGAACAGCCTCCCCCTCCTTATTCTTGAAGAAAAAAAGCATTGCAGCTCTGTCACTTCGTAAAACTCAGACTCCTCTGGGAATGAATAGCCCTCTGCTGTTTATGAAAAGGTACTTTTTTTTCCTCTTAATAATAAAAGAAAGATGGTTCTTATTTTAAACTTGAAACTGAAACAGGGAGAAAGATGAATAGGCATGGGGTAGAAGATAGTGAGACATCTGTAATTTAGCCAGTAGACACTGAGTAGCCACTTTGTCACTCTGGATGAGTGTATTAAGGGTTGAAGTGAGCGTTAGCTCTCCTTCCACTTGTGTCTCTCAGTAGGAGATTGGTCCTGGCCCCACGTGCAGAATTTTGCCATTAAACCATAACATACGAAGGAAGTAGTGTGATATAATTTCCACCAAATTTGCTCTGACAAGAAGTTAATTTCCACAAATCTGTGGTGAGAAGGAGTGTGGTCGATATGGGGACTGGAAATCAGCATCCCTTCCTACCTCCGGCCAGCGGACGTCCCTGTTATGTTAAGCCAGGGGTCGGCAAACCTCGGCTCGCGAGCCACAGGCGGCTCTTTGGCCCCTTGAGTGTGGCTCTTCCACAAAATACCACGTGTGGGCACGCACGTACAGTGCGATTGAAACTTTGAGGCCCATGCGCAGAAGTCGGTTTTCGGCTCTCAAAGAAATTTCAATCGTTGTGCTGTTGACATTGGACTCTGTTGACTAATGAGTTTGCCGACCACTGTGTTAAGCTAAACACCCTGCATCCCAGACCTTCTTGCACTTAGCATTCTGGAGAGGGGTTGTGAAACAGGTCTCCTAGTTAGGTGCCCTTACGATTTGGAAGGGGGAAATGAAGTGCAGCATAAGTTGCTGTTGGTTTGCTTGTTATTTTGCTTTTTCTGCTGATAAGCATGGCCAGGGAGTTTTTCGGTAGCAGTGCTCTTGTACCTGGTGACGCTGGCGTGTGGGTATTGATAGGACATGGCCAGCAGAGATTGGAGGTGGTGGGCTTCCTGATGTCTTGATTGGGTCCATTCTTTAAAGTCAGCAGGTCTGTGAAGGCTCCTGATTGCCTCCTGCTCTGGCTGGGGCAGGAGTGGCAGCTTCCTGTGTGGGTCCAGCCTGTGGCCTGGGCTAGCACTTCCAACGATTTTTGTAAGCACCTAATTCCCTGTATTAACTATTTTTGTAAGCATCTAATCCCCTGTCTGCCTAAAATATGGAGTGACTTCTTTTTTCTGTAACTGAAATCTGATTGAAACAAAGGAGAAGAGAAGGGGAAAAAATAAAGAGGAAAGAGTTGAGAGTCTTCACTCCCCAGTTTTCACATATAGAACAGTGGGTGCTTTGGATGGTGTCAGTGACCACAATGCGTAAGCAACAGGATAACGAGGAAGTGTATGTTCTGACTGCTCTAGACCCACTATTGCCCACACTGGCATTACACTGAGCCCAAACCTCTAGCTAATGCTCACAGAAAGGAAAAACAAGTTTGAGGCAGCAGCTGTGTGAGTTAGCCCAATCATTCACATATTGTTCATACCATGATTGCTTCTTTGCAACTCTGTAATGCCAACATCATCCTAAAATATTTCTCCTGGGTTTCCATGAACCAAAGAAGTGCAGAATATAGCTTAGTTGTGGTAATTCGCTCTTTATTTTAGAACAAAGTTTGGAGGTACAGTGTGAAGAACTTTCCTCATTCAGATTCTCCAACTACTGACATTTCACCACAATTGTCCCATAACCATTTTTGCCATTTTCATTGGGCTTTTTCTGAACCCTTTGAGGACAAGCTGCAAATACAATGCCCCATCACCTCTAAGTACTTTAGAATGTCTTTTCCTGAAAAAAAGAATAGTTCCCTACCTAAGCCATCCAACCCTCTAAAACTAAGAAATCAACATTGATACACTACCATCCAATCCACAGATCCTATTCGATCTTTGACAAGTGTTCTAATCATTTTCTTTTTCCTTTCAAGGTCCCACTTAGGGGCAAATGGTGCCTGTACCCGTCCTGCATTTGCAGACTCTTATCTGTGTGAGTTCCTTAGTCTTTCTTATCCTTAATAGTTTTAAGGAGTACAGACTGTACAGCCTGTAGGATGTTCCTCAACCTGACCATGTGAAGGTCATGCTTTTTTGGCAGGCATCACAGAAATGATACTGTGTTCTTTCTCAGTGCATCTATCAAGGGGTACGTGATGTTGACGCATCCCATCACTGTCGCTGATAACCTTGATCACTTGGTCATTTTGGTGTCTGCAAGGTTTCTTGTTCATAATGCCACCATTTCCCCCTTTATAATCGGTTAGTATTTTGTGGGGACAGATTCAGAGATTATGCCAGTACCCTGCCCTTCCTTCATCAGATCTCCATCCACCTGTTTTAGCATCCATTGATGACTTCCACCACTGTGTCTTTATTTCCAGTTTTATTAATTGGCATTCTATGTAAGAAGAGCTTTCCTGTCTTCTTACTTATTCATTTGTTTGTTTATATCAGCAGGGACTTGTAGAATCCCAGCTTTATTCACTGGGTTGTAATTAATTGCTGTCATTAAACATTTTGTTGCTTAAACTATCCAATGGAAGTCAGGAAGGTTTTTAGGGCAATGTGGCACATCTCCATCTTCCTCTGAGCACTTCTCTTCTTTCCAGCAGAAGATGTCCCAGGTCCCTCTTACATTCTGCCTCGCCCATTCGGTAGAAAATGTGCTTTTTTAAAAAATATATTTTTATTGATTTTTTACGGAGAAGAAGGGAGAGAGTTAGAGAGTTAGAAACACCGATGAGAGAGAAACATCTCAATCAGCCGCCTCTTGAACACCCCCTCCTGGGG